CGTACATAATTTTGAAAATCATACATTCCCATTTCTACCGCTAATCTGCTGTCAAACCATGTAAACAAACCTGTTATATTTTTTACCCTTATATTTTTTTGTGACATTTTGTTGCCAGCAATTATACATATAATAGATATAATAAATTTTGTATCAAATTTAAGTTTTCCTGTTGACAAAATTTGTCAACAGATGCTTTGTATCTGTTCAAATACACTTGGCTGATCTCGACATTTTTCTTCCAAATGATTCGGTTTATTACAATGACGACATATTCGACCATGTGCTGGACATCTTGATACTACATGGTTCATACCACATTTGGAGCAATTTGTTATAAAAGGAGTTCGACACATCATCGAAAAATGATTCCTCTTGCCACATTTTATACACAGTTCACCGTATGCTGGACAACATGATTGAATATGACTCATTCCGCATTTAGTACAGTCATATATGTACTTATCTTTATTATTCGTGTAATGATTGAACCATTTATACTTATTGCAATGGGTACAACATAATTTGGGAAAACATAATTGACATTGATGTCCCTCAGTCGTATATTGATTTTGATTCTGTTCTGTACTATATTGAGTAGACTCTGTTGTAGCAGATTCGACATATGTAGGATTCTGCTTCGGTGTTTCATCAATTTTTTGTGCCATTAAATCTTCACATTGTTTCCAGAACAGAATAATATGATACAAATCTAGTGATTGTAAATATGGTATCAATTTTTCTCCTTTACTTTCTATGAGAAGCGCAGCTTTTCCTGTGAACCGCTGGGTACTAATATCTTGTATAATTTTCTCTTTCACAATCCTTATAGGATCAATATCCTGTACTATAGCGAAGAACTGCAAAAATAAATTTACAAATAACACTATAAGATTTTATATAAATTTCTCTAAATTCTTTGGAATATGTTACTGTAAAGAGTGAAAATTGAATTAATCTTGAAAAAGAGAGGCTTGATTTTCAATCTTTAAGAATGAGATTTCACTCTCTTTAGAGTAAGATTCAAAAAGTTTTAGAGTAAGAGTATATAGTATTATAAAATAGTATATAGTATTATATATAATATAAGTACTTTTATTAACTATACCTTCAATTCACATATGTATTCGTCGATGTCTTCATTGCCTCTTTTTTTATCTCCATATAAGCAATAGAGATCAAATTTCTTAATTAGTATGTCTATATCCACCACGTTTTTATCTTCTCCATAAAAATGAAATGTTCTATGAATCTCTTGACCAATGGGACCCATACGATTTAAAAGCATGAAACCCCACATTTGTTTTTTATCTTCAGTTTTGTCAATATTCTTCAAATAAGCAAAGAAATTATTTTTCCATGAAAACCAGGTTCTAACAAACTCATCTTTTGTAGTAAAGATGGTAGGTGGTACTGTCACAGTTGCGATTGTAGATTCGTTTCCGTTAGGTAATTCTGCTTGTTCATTGTTTACAAGTTTTTCCTCTTGACTAGAAGAACTACCTAAAGATATTATTTATAAGTTTCATTACACAGAAGAACAATATCAAATATTATGTCCTATGTGTATAATGTATAGTTACCCATTTTTTAAATAATCGCTTGAATATATAATTTAAAATTTAAATATTTGGATAATAATTTTTTGCAGAGAAATTGGACTGCAAACACAAATATTTTTATATGAATTAACACTTAATGGAAGGAGAAAAAAAATAAAGATTATTTTAACAGCACATACAATCTCACAACGACGTTTCACTAGATTACTATTAGTAATACTATTACTAATAAACTATTAATCTGTACAATTATGTTTCATATTATCCAGTAAATAATATTAGGAGAATATTATTAGTTAAATAATATTCTCGAAACTAGAACTATTGTTTGTTGGCACAGTGTACTAAAGTTTTAATTCTTTCTCGTTAAACTTCAAGTTTAACAATAAATACTTCAATTTAATAAAGGTTAGCTATCAAATGTGTTATCTCTTTACTATGATAAGTATAGATAAATGATTAAAGAGTAAGATAATTATTTTTTATACAAGCCTAAAAAAGTATATGTAGTGAATCCCCTATCATCCTCATTCATCAGAGGCATAAGACAAATGCTCGTATTCATAGGCTGCGTTCCGTTGACTCAACAGGTTTGCAACCGTTTTATGATTATCTGCTGAGATAGGACCATTCTTCTAGATCTAAAAGTATGATCCAATTAGCGCGAAGGAAACTTCCAACAGTTGCAAAACAAACGTTCTGCTGAACGCAGCCAATCATAAAACGGTTGCAAAACTGTTGAGTCTGCTGAACGCAGCCAATCATAAAACGGTTGCAAAACTGTTGAGTCTGCTGAACGCAGCCAATCATAAAACGGTTGCAAAACTGTTGAGTCTGCTGAACGCAGCCAATCATAAAACGGTTGCAAAACTGTTGAGTCTGCTGAACGCAGCCAATCATAAAACGGTTGCAAAACTGTTGAGTCTGCTGAACGCAGCCAATCATAAAACGGTTGCAAACCTGTTGAGTCTGCTAAACGCAGCTAAAGATTGCATGTGGATAATTTATGGGATCGTCGAATTATCTGTGAATAATTGTAAAATATTGATATTAATAATATTGATACGAATAAGAGCCTAGCTGCCAAGGGGTCGATAGTGTATTTTAAAATGAGATGAAAATTACAAAAGTGAGCAAATTCACTAGAATATTTGTAATTTTATTGGTCAGTATACCTAGTGGATTATGCTCATTTTAATTGTCATAGTCGACTTCTAGGATTGACTCTTATTAACACGAACACGAGCCACATTCATTTTTGACTATTTTATCGACAGTTTCATATTTAAATAGATGTAAAAAATATGAATATAAATATAAATAATAATATAATATAATGTAATAAATATAATGTAATATAATATAATATATGAGTGTGAATATCGCAAAAAATAGACGTTGATGTACTAGTGTATGGCGTTTCACGGTTTTTTACGAAAGAGGCTTCGGGAATGACTCTCAAGTTTCCCTCTGTTGTTGGTAAAATTGGGGAAATCACTAGAAAAATAAACAGTGGGTGCATTCAGTACCACGACCGCTCACTAATGACTCCTGCACACTGGACGCGGAAACGCTTACCGCGCGGCAAAATACGACGCGGTAGCCAATAAGCTTACAGCTCCTAACATGTTCATTGGTTACCGCATCGC